GTCGCAATTCCGTTGTTTACGTTTGTAACATCCGAGAATTGATGAAAAAAATTCGGAAATCATAGGTAGTGTTGAACACTCACCTTTTATCAACCGCTGACTGGTTAAATTATCAGGCAATTTATTTTTTTTATGCCCATAATTTCCTCTCGTAAAATGGCAGCAGCTTCTCGTAAAACATCTTGATCTTTTAAGTGCGCAAATAATGATTCATCAATAGTTGAAGTACCTATCGGGGCAACAACTTGTTTTTTGTTAGATGTCAAAATTTGAATTTTACCATTAAATTTCTTGCGAAGCTTTTCTTCCAAATAGGATGCGATAAATATTGATGCTGAGTCTGAGCTTTCACTTAATTCTTTAAACATTTCAAGATACTCTTTATGCAAATAACTCAGAAAATAACAACGTCCTCGATTTATAACATTCTCTTCAATTAAATTACATATTTCTTTATAAACAGTTTCATGTAGGTACTTCTCGGGAGATGTGCCATGAAGTACGAACTGGACTTTTCACAAGTGATCTTTTTTGATTCCTAAAATTTTGCCGGCAACTGTCATGGTAGTATACTTGACGAGAGAGAACACTTTGTATTTTAGTTAGAGTTTCATTGTAAATTTCAGTATCTGCCTTAAAGTTTAACAGGACACTCTTTCCAAATTGATCCTTTTCTGAAGCCCGTAATGGGTCAATTTTACCACGAAATTGTTTCTTTTTTTTTTTTGTTACAAAAAAAAACACAAATTTGAATTTGAACTTGCAGAAGCTACAGTATCGGAAGTTTCAACAGTCGATGATTGTGCTAAATTTTTAGATGGTCCTTCCTCCAACTGCAGTTCAGCGTCGATTTCTTTTTCTGCTTCTTTTGTCTCAGGAAGGTTTCCATCATTTTCAAGGGAATCGTGTACAAGTGTATCAACAATTATTGAGCTCTCAGCTGATGTAGATGGCTATTCAACTGCAGGCAAGATTTTCTGGACTGTGATGAAGTCTTTTTTTCAACATCTGTCGTCAAATACTGTCTTTTCAACGCTGTAAATGTCTTGTAACAACTACTATGGTATGCTGAATCATAAATTTCGTCCAATAAAATAATGTCATTGTATTTTAATTTATGAAATTTCCTTAACCTCAAAACTTTTTTACATTTTGATATAGTCTCTTCTGAAAACAGTAATAATTTTTCATTTTTTACTGAGTTACAAAAGACACACTTCTGTTCTGGTTTTTCACTCGACATAATCACGGATAGATTAAATAATAATAATCGTATCAATAAAACAAAAGAAAGCAACACTATGTATTATATTCAATAAATTCACGAAACACGCAGTAACTGTTAGAAGGCTCAGAGATATACTGAAAACATCTGGCAAAAACCGTTAGAGTGGGGATGAACCTTGGCCCTCTCAGGTATACAACCTGAATTTTTCGAGTGCGAGTAACTACACAACGAAATAATTCTTAAGCTAGAATGAGTACAATAGTGATTCATAGACAATAAAAGAAAGATAGCTATAGACAGTCTATGCATACTTCTGACCGGATAATAACTAAGATTTTCTTGTCTACTGAAGTATGTCCACCATGAAGACGTCTGCCATGATCAATAAAAGTTTTTAAGACCCAAATAAATGAAATATATTAATGGCAGATCTGGTCAATTACTTTGAAAATTTATTTTTTTGAGCACTTTCAAAATTGTCTGCCGCAATGAAAACCGCGCGATAATGGTCTGCCATTGTTATTTTCCGATAATAATATTAATATATTTTCAAATTTCAAAGCGGCAGACGTCGTCAAATACTTATAACATTGGCCAAAAATCGATACCTGTCTTACCTGAGCGCCCGCCAAGTCGGCCACCTGGAGCTTAGTGACTCTCCATCTCATGTACAGTAGGTATAGGGGTCTCACTGTACAAAAATCCAGGTATCGTCAAATACATATAGGTAGCCGCCCACTGGCTCTTAGACTATATCATTTCTCTTGTTCCGATGATCTTGCAATGATTTTCGTTCCACTGAGTTCCCCAAACTGCTCACGCGGCGTTGCCACTTACTTCCAAAAGTCGCAGAAGTCGGAACAACAACCCTGTGTGGGTCCTAGCCTCCTCAAGAATTTTTTTCCAGTCGTTCTTATCCATCGTCTTCCTCCGCCAAGCACGTATTTCCATATTTCTCATATCTTGATTTATGTTATCTAAGAATCTTGTTCTGGGTCTTCCTCTTCTTCTTTGACCAATAGGTCTATCAAGGAGCGTTTTTCTAGCTGGGTCGGTTTGCTCCATCCGCATTACATGACCTACCCACCTCAGACGTCCTATCTTAATGTGTTTTACGATATCTGGTTCCTGGTATATTCTATAGAGTTCAAAGTTGTATCGTCTTCTCCAGACACCATTTTCATTTACCGCTCCATAGATTCGCCTTAGTATTTTTCTTTCGAAACATCCTAATATGTTTTCATTGCTTTTTGTTAAAGTCCAGGTTTCTGAACCATATGTTAGGACTGGGCGTATTATTGTTTTGTAGAGTTTTACTTTTGTATTTCTTGATATAACTGTAGATTTAAAAAGGAGATTAAGCCCAAAATAGCATATATTAGTTGAAGATTAGCATCGACTCACAGAGGAAGCAAGAGTTACCGCTGGGATACAGACTGCCAAAATGCCTTTGAGACCTTAAAAAAGCATTTAATCACAGCACCAATTTTAGGATATCCATTGCCAGAGAGTTCATCTTAGATACAGATGCAAGTAATGTGGGAATTGGAGGAGTGCTGTCTCATATTCAAGGAGGACAGGAATAAGTCCTTGGATATTTTAGTAAAGTTCTCTCAAAACCGGAGCGGAATTATTGCGTCACGAGAAGAGAACTTCTGGCAGTAGTGAAATCAGTAGAGCACTTCTATCAATACCTCTATGGAAGGAAGTTTTTAATCCAAACCGACCATGCCGCCCTTAAGTGGTTGATGCAGTTTAAGAATCCAGAGAGTCAGATAGTCAGGTGGATCGAACGACTCCAAGAATACGATTTCAAGATTGAGCACCGGGCCGGAGTTAGCCACCGAAACGCTGATTCTCTTTCCAGAAAGCCATGACCAGCAGAGTATTCCCACTGCAGCAAAACGGAATCCAAGGATGCAGCAGTGCTAAGAACGACGATGGTCAACGACGACTGGACGCCTACGAAGATAAGGGAAGAACAAGAGAGAGATCCAGTTAAACAGAAAATCCGAAAATGGAAAGAGGAAAACCTCGACCACCTTGGCAAGAAATATCAAACCTATGCTCAGTAGTTAAGACGTATTGGGCCCAGTGGGACACATTTATCATGGAAGATGGCTTGCTTAAACGAGTCCTGGAAAATGATGACGGTTCAGAGAAGAGAAGACAGTTGGTGATCCCAAAGAGCAGAACAGCCGAAGTACTTCGTCAGTTACACGACAGTCCATCAGGAGGGCATTTTGGTGTAAAGAACACCCTTCAGCGAATTCGGGAACGGTTTTATTGGATGAACAGTTCCGACGATGTAAAAGACTGGTGTAAGAAATGTACTATTTGTATAATGTTGGAAGCCCGTTTGAAAGAATAGCTTTGGACATTGCTGGGCCATTTCCAGAAAGTGAAATGGAGGCAAGTACATGTTGGTAGTAATGGATTACTTCACTAAGTGGGTCGAGATTTACGCACTTCCAGACCAAAAGGCCACCACCGTTGCAGATACGTTGATCCAAGAATATATCAGCCGATTTGGAGTGCCTTTGGAGATCCATAGTGACGAAGGCAGGAACTTCGAAAGCGGTCTATTCCAAGGAATATGTGATAGACTAGCCATGAAAAAAACAAGAACTAGAGCATATCATCCATAATCGGATGGTATGGTAGAACGGATGAATAGGACATTTGGTAAGTATTTGACAAAGATGGTGTCCGATCATCAGCGAGACTGGGACCAATATCTTCCGTTCTTTACAATGGCCTAAAGATATGCTGTTAACGAATCAACAGGCCAGACACCAGAGTCCTATTCGGACGCGAGATGCGACTACCTTGTGATCTAGAGTTTGGGTGTCGACCTGGAGAAGATGTAGCTGGTGAAGATTATGTTTCTGGGTTTAAGGGCATTCTGTTATGATACCCTTAGAATGTGCTACTTTGCACTATTTCATAGCCATTTACAGTACGGAATAACTGTTTGGGGTAATTCTTCCTACGCAGATCGAATTTTTAAATTACAAAAAAGAGTAGTGAGGATACTTGCAAGAGCAGAGTATAGGGAACACTGTAAACCTTTATTTCTGGATTTAGGTATTATGCCACTACCTTCACTCCATATATATGAGACGCTGATTGAAATTCATGCCAACAAAGGTAAGTTTAACGTAAACTCCAACGTCCATGATCACGATACAAGATCTAGAGATGCTATTAGAGCACAACGTTTTAGGTTGACAAAGAGCGTAAAAAATTCGACTGACGTTAGTTTGTATAACTTTTTACCAGATGAAGTAAAAAGGTCTTCACTTGTTATCATTTAAGCATAAAATCAAATCACACTTTTTGAAACATTGTTTCTATTCAAAAACGGAGTACTTAAGTACAGCTTTTACACAATAGTACTAGTTTGGTCAGGGCAGTTGCCTATTATAATTATATTTCATGTTTTTTATAATTCCACAAAGTGTGTTTGTCGTTTTTTTTAACTGTTAATATTAAATACATACATGTTTGTAATGTTTAAATTATCCAAAAAAAAATTTATATGTTTTATAAGTATTGTCAATATTCCTTTGACTTGTCAAAAACAAAACTATTTTTGTATATTGATTAAATAAATTCTATTCTATTCTATTCTAAATACAATATTTTTGTAAAATAGCATTTGACAGTTTTTGCAGGAGAACAGTCTTGATTTTTTATAATAATTGACAATAACACAAAAGCATAAGATTAAAAAAAAAACAATTTTACAAAAACAAACTTTTTAACTTACTTCCAGAAGTGCATATTCTCCTTTGTAGCCAATACAAAGAGCTTCTTGACACCAAACCATAGATTTTGGTATATCATTTAAATTGATGTCTTCCATTAATTGCAAAAACTCATTATTTTTTAAATAATACAGTTGTATTTTTCTTTTCACAGCAACAGCCATACGAACTAAATTAACTACCTCGCCAGTCATTGATTTCTCTTTCTAAGAATAAAATGTATCAGTTAATATCAGTATTATAAAAACGAATAAAACATGCAGTAGTTATTTAAGAAACTGAAATTACATTTGTTAGATCATATTTATATATAAGATTTAGGTAATGTAGGTGTACCAATGATAGACCGGTTAAGGAATTCTTAACACACTGCGGTCAAACATAAAGCAAAAGTTTCAATTTGATATAATTTTTGGCAAATTTCAACCCTTTGCTAAAATACAGTTGGTGTGATTTTTATTGTTGCATGATTAAAAAATTGATTTTGATTAATTACCTATCAAGGTACTTGAACCAATTATGAACAGCATTTTTTTTAAACCAATTATGGACCCCCCAATTATGAACAGTTATCAGTGCACTAGTATTACTTTAAAAATACAACTCAAGAGATGAATAAAATTTTATTTTGAACTAAACATAGGTGATTGAAGTTTTTCTATATCATTTTCTTTGACTCACAATTTTTTTTTTTGAACACATATGTTAGTTTCCTGTCTTTTATAGTTATCTCTGGAGCTGTTAAGACACCATTAAGGCAATTAAAATGAATTACTGAAATATCTCATCATCTTTCACAAATTTTTGTAATGTTGAGCCACATGATTTAAGCTTCATGATTTTTATTTCATTGTCATTATTTTGCTGCATACAATACAGGTATATAAATCTTGAAGTATTCATTTTTCCCCACATAAAGGTAATTAAACGAAGTTCCCATTTTGCCTTCTTCAATTGAAGTTCCCATGCCATTCTGGTTATTCATCATCTTCTTCTTCTTGCCGATCAGATTCTACCGAATTTGGTAAGATGGCATCACTGTCACAATGTCACAAACTGTCATTTGATGATGATCGAGAAATGGGTTTATTTTTTCTCTTTGCAAGCTTTAGAACTTGATTTTTTTACCTCTCTTCCCTGTCTGCTCGTTTCTTCTCTTTTTCTTGTTCTAAAAGTCTTTTTTTTCTCTTCCTTTCTTCTATAATATTTAAACACTTGCGAAGATGTAACTACAACTGGAGTCTTTTCCTTTCTTCGAATTTTTTTCGCCACTGTAGATTCATTAGGCCAGAAAAGAGTTCTTTTAAATGGAGATGGGATAAACTTGTAATTTTGATTTGAAGGAACCTGACTTAAAGATGGACCTTCATCAAAAGCCCTAGGCAAATTAGTCCCTAGTGTCAATGAATGTTCACTAAAACATTTGGATGGGATGACTTTTATCAAACATTCATACCATTTTCTTCATTTATTACTATAGTTCCATTTGGTTTATAGTTTTTCAACACTAAATAGGGGAGACTCTTTAGAATCAGGAAAACCTGATTTTAATTCTGGGAATATCATTCTTTTTTGATGCTGCTCTAAATGCTGGACCATTTTTGATGTCTTCTAGTGTATTTTTCAATGTTTCATTGCTACATTGGCTAAGTTTTGGGGTCATTCTGTAACTAAAAAAAACAAATTAGTTTCAAAATAATGACACCAATTATGGACCATCATTGTTCCAATTAGGGACATAGTGGTTCAAAATTGGTACTGATCATCATATCAGCTTTATAACTGTATTTATAGATTTCTTACATCATATAGAGCTGAATGACTTCTAAATAACGATTTATCACGGAGCATCTATTATGAACATAGTGTCTATAAATCATTGTAACACTTATGGTATGTCCCTAATTTGAACCACCATCACACAATGGAGAATCAATTATTAATTCACAAGGAATCTACGTTCCTGTAGTTGGCTGTATACCATATATTAAAAAAATTGATTAAAAATCCTTTGTAAAAGGCTTTTGAATATGGGTTCCGAAAACGTTTTGTCTGTCTAACTTAGCCCGTTTTAGGCATTACCAATAAATCCCGCGTATGGAACCACATGTTCCTCCAAAATATCTCTGATGTAACGATCTGCCGTTAAACCTCCTCCACGTCCTCCATAAGGCACGAAAACCAGCTCGGTTTTTCCATCCATGGAAATGCCTGCCCAAAACATACAAGAACCGCCTCCATATGACACAATTTGTCGTATACAACATTGAGCAAATCGTTTCCCTGGCCTTCTATAGACTCGACGCCTCTTGTCGTTGCCATATAGGCAGATCCTACTTTCGTCCGAGAATAATACCTGACTCCATTGATAGTTGTCCCAATCCAGATGTTCACGAGCAAATTCTAGTTGTCTTTGCTTATGGGCTGCAGTTAGCTTGGGACCAGTAGCTGCCGTTTTTGGTATCAGATTGGCTGCTTTCAGTCTCCTTCTGACTGCCCAAACCACACCTCTGACCTCTCTGAGCTCTTCTTTGAGATTAGCACCAGTCAAATGTCGATTTCTCAGAGATTTAGATACAAGAAATCGATCATCTCTCTCTGTTGTTATTCGTTTACGACCTCCTCCTTGTTGGAGGACATAATCACCAGTGTCTTGGTACCTACGATACACTCGGGACACAGCAGATTGGCTTAAATTTAGTCGATTTGCCACGGCTCTCTGGCTCAGGTCTTCTCTTAATAATGCTACTGCTTGAGCTGCTTTGACGGATGTGGTATCCATTTGTTATGAAGTTGCAAACTTAATTGACTGATGTATTAGTGAGTTGTTATGGAAATTGATGCTTACGATGTTAACCAAATGTGTTAAGTGGGTGCGTGTCGATTTCAATGGGTCTAATTATGACCCCCTCTCTAAGTATTGCATTATTTATTTGTAATATGTCACCCGATTTACCAAAAATCAAAACTTTTTTCAAACTCAATAATAAGGTTAATAATTGTACACTAAATATTTTTAAATTTATACCTTTTTTGATTTAAACAGGAGACGTACTTTCACAAAATAATTTTAAGTCGATTTTTTCCCTTAAGTGTATTACAAAGAATTTTTAATAAATTGTTTTCCATTATTAATTGATAAATTTTCATAGCCAATAAGATTTATTTATTAATTTGTGTGTATGCAAGTATTTATATACAATAAAGAGCCCTAAAAGTAAAGTTATTCAAAGATCAAATAAAACTTACCTGTTAATTTTCAAACACTACTGTGATAAAATGTACACTAACACCGGCACCACTGCATAAAATATAACTTCACATCGATGCTGTTACTGGAAATGACCAAAACTAATAACTAATGATTATTCAATATAGCCACTCAAAAGGTTTAACTTTATATAGTTCTCTATCTAAATACAATAACAGCTAAGTTTTTCTTCTTTTTTGAATTTGTACATAACACATAGTACACTTACCTTAAGTAACTTATTTAATAGATTTAGACATTTTTTTAAGAAATTTACAATATACAGTGTAGCCTTTAATATAATGAAACTGGAGGAGATTAGAAAATATTTGTTGTACCCAGTAATTTGTTACAATGTGTTACAATAGCAAGAATATTGGCAATAGCTAGTGTAATGCGGCTATAAAACTAACTCATACCTATATGGGGGGACTTAGCAATATTCCAACAAAGTAAAACACATCACTCTTTCCTTTGACACATATATATCTGAGACATGCATGTTAAAGTCGTCAACAGGTGTTACTGAAAATTATGGGGTTACTGAAAAATATTAAAATATACACAGAACATCTTACATTTCAAATATAAATAAATTAAAGGTCAACAAAAATAAATCAGTTGTACGTCAGAAACATAGAAGATAGTGTAAAGAACAGAAATCCTAGAAAAATGTATCAAGGGAGATAAAATCAATGGCAAACAATGGCCAGGAAGATGTCTTACATGCTGGGTAGATCAAACCAAAAGAATTGCAATGATGTGCATGAAGCTTTCCTAACAGCCCAAGACAAAGAATGATGGAAATCCATGATCTCAGTGATCAAGACATAATGTCACTATACTCCTTCCAGAGTCAAAAGACAAAAGAAGAAGAAAATGGAATGTAGGTACACAAAAAATTCTTAATAAGATTACTCACTCATTACTACTGTCATAGTCATAGATGATATCCTGTTCAATTAAACTGCAGATATGAATTATTTTTTAATATCAACCTTTTTTGAGTCTCAGTTGTTTGTGTGTTGATAAATTTTAATTATGTTTACATTGTTCTCTAATAAATGGCGTATATAGTGTATCATCTGTTGCAGTACAAGGTAGAAGTACAAGCACCTTAGGCTACATTAGAAAAAACAGAAAACTAAAGTAGAAAATACCAGTGAATAATTCAAAAATGAAACAGTTATCTGAGTTAATAGTCTTAGTGTAGCCTTTAATATAATGAAACTGGAGGAGATTAGAAAATATTTGTTGTACCCAGTAATTTGTTACAATTTGTTACAATAGCAAGAATATTGGCAATAGCTACTGTAATGCAGCTATAAAACTAACTCATATATGGGGGGACTTAGCAATATTCCAACAAAGTAAAACACATAACACATCACTCTTTCCTTTGACACATATATATCTGAGACATGCATGTTAAAGTCATCAACAGAAGAAAAATAGATGCCTTCAAATGATGGGGTTACTGAAAAATATTAAAATATACACAGAACATCTTACATTTCAATTATAAATAAATTAAAGGTCAACAAAAATAAATCAGTTGTATATCAGAAACATAGAATATAGTGTGAAGAACAGAAATCCTAGAAAAAGTATCAAGGGAGATAAAATCAATGGCAAACAATGGCCAGGAAGATGTCTTACATGCCGGGTAGATCAAACCAAAAGAATTGCAATGATGTGCATGAAGCTTTCCTAACAGCCCAAGATAAAGAATGATGGAAATCCATGATCTCAGTGATCAAGACATAATGTCACTATACTCCTTCCAGAGTCAAAAGACAAAAGAAGAAGAAAATGGAATGTAGGTACACAAAAAATTCTTAATAAGATTACTCACTCATTACTACTGTCATAGTCATAGATGATATCCTGTTCAATAAAACTGCAGATATGAATTATTTTTTAATATCAACCTTTTTTGAGTCTCAGTTGTTTGTGTGTTGATAAATTTTAATTATGTTTACATTGTTCTCTAATAAATGGCGCATATAGTGTATCATCTGTTGCAGTACAAGGTAGAAGTACAAGCACCTTAGGCTACATTAGAAAAAACAGAAAACTAAAGTAGAAAATACCAGTGAATAATTCAAAAAATGAAACAGTTATCTGAGTTAATAGTCTTAATTTTTAACAATTTTTGATCCTTTGTCTTCTAAAGTCTAAAGCTAAGTTAAATGAAATATTAAAGTCATACCATACCATAATATTAATAGTAAACACTGTAGCTCCTTTGGATTTTTGCACTTGGTGTAGAGTGGTGAAATGAATAGCACCCAGATCATGAACTTGTATCAAATTATCTGTAAAATGAATAAATCTGTGCGAAAAAGTATTATATTTCAACAATAGTAATAACTACCTGAAAGGCTAACAAGTAAATTCTGGTCTTGAATGACTTCCAACTGTTGAACTGGCTTCTTGCTAAAAGATTTGTTATATCTCATCAATTGAACTTCGCAATTATCATCATTTCGAAGTACACTGTACATGCATAAATGGCCCTGCCTTGTACCAACAAGTAGATTATCATCTAAAAACAGATTAAAAGAAGGAAATTCTTGGATTTTTGTATTAACTTACCATACGCTGCTATTGATTCAACTTGATGTGTAACTTTTAGTAAAGACGAAACTTGATATGCTTCATGCATTTTTAAATGTTATCGAAATAAATTTTAGAAGTAAGTAACTTGTTAATACTTTATCTTTATCATAAACAATTAAATGTCAAAATATTGAATACCTAACCTTAAATACATGTATATATTATTTGACATAACTCTGTTCTTCTCAGGTACACTATTTCGACAGCCTGTTCTGATACGTATTCGTAGTATTCACTAGTAAGTATTCAGCTTAACGTAAGGAGTAATCTGTAACCAAAAATGTGTCCATTTTGTCCATTGATTTGATTAAATTAAAACTGATACAATCCATCATTGATTACGTAAATCTAAAACTATATATTTGTTAATGCATAACTGATTTGATATTGGAATATTGTATCTAATATTGTGTCATGATGGCCGAAGCAAGAGATTAGAAGTTAAAAATATTTTATCACTGCTATTCACAACTAACGCAACTACTCTACCGACAACTGTGTTAACTGGAACCATCTGGAACTATATATAAGAACGCGAACGGACAAACTGTGTTTTAAATGTGTTTTTAAAATTTGAAAGTCATTTCTATTTCTAAAAACATTTTAATTCAAAATAGTATTTCTACCATTTTTCACACTACTTCATAATGGCAGCTGGTTCAGTATACCACGCTGCACATAAGGGAGATTTTGAATATGTTTCACAAAAGATTGAAAACGTTCCAATAATTCTAAAAGCACCAGACGAAGTAAGTTCTAATTATTTGTATATTATTATCTAACGTTAATCTAGACGAACCTTTATTATATCTAATCTCTACCCAGTACAATACTAAAATGTACCACCTACATTTGTAGTTTCTTTGATTTTTTTAACAGGTTTTGCAAATGTATACATTTTTATTTTGGTTATATAGTCCCTGTAATTTCAATGATTTCTCTATCTAATGTAGAACCCATGTCACCGTATGAATCTATTATCCTGCATATTTAAATGCAGTAAGACCACATTTAAAAACATTTTCTGATATCTCATAGCCATTTGTATCCTCTACAGGATGTGCATAGGCTTCTTCTAAAGTTTCCAAGTTTCTATAAAGTTACAAAGTAGTTTCGTGTTATTCTTTTTAGATTATTTGTTTATATGATAGATGGTTCATCTTATCAGTGCCTAGTCTCTATTCTACAATCATGGTTCATCTTATCAGTGCCTAGTCTCTATTCTACAATCATCTTTTTTGTGCCCAAAAGTGTTTCAAACTAATGTTTTCTTTATTTTTATTGTACATTATTTTTTATTTAGGATCTGACAGGTTCTTCTTGAAATCATGTGATAGTATGTCCATCTATTTCTGTGTGAGAATGCTTGAAGGAAAAGTTCTACATAGCTATAAAATTTATAGATTCTTTATGGCCCACGAGAGAAGTTCATTGAATTTGGGTTTATTAAAATTGGGTAAAGAATTTCCTAAAAGACACTTCCGATATAGGTGTCTAACTTGATAGTATTATCAACACATAGTCTATAGGTGAAAACAAGTTGGTGTGCATTTAGTTGATAGAGTTGTCAAGTTTTTGGATACTCCATTGTATTCTTCTTCTTCTAGTTCCATGACCGTTATCCATAGACAGAAGCAGGACAGGAAAGATGTAGCAAGATGTCATACGAACTCTAAGGTCAATGCTAAGATCGTGACTGCAAAGTATGTTTTTCATTTTTACAAAGGCAGCTCGGGCTTGTTCTATTTGGCTTTTAATTTCTGCGGTTGGATCTCAGCTCTCATTGATATTACTGCCGAGATACACAAGTTTCTCTACTCTGTCCAGTGGGGCATCCCCGACTTTTATACTGTCATCCTGTATATAATTTTGTTTGCTAACTATCATATATTTAGTTTTCTTAACGTTGAGTTTTAATCCATACTGATCACATGTCTGTTTTATTTTGTTCATTAGATTTTGAAGGTCTTCTCCGCAATTGTCAAGGACTAAGGTATCGTCGGCATATCTAATATTGTTGACGGTTACTCCATTCACAATAATACCTTCGGTTGTCTCCATTAAGGCTTCCTTAAATATTTCCTCCGAATATAAGTTAAAAAGTAAAGGTGACAATATACAGCCTTGTCTCACTCTTCTTTTCATATTTATTACATCTGACAGTTCTTGTTCAACCTTTATTCTTGCCACTTGATGCCAGTATAGATTTGTAATTATTTGTAGATCCACCGTTCAATCCACCTGTTTCCAATATTTCTAGCACTCCATTGTATAGGTTTATTTTATTTAACTAATTTCCTCTCTGTTGGTTCTCTTTACTATTCCAAACCTAAAAATTGTTCAGTGTATACGAATTTTTATTTTGTTGTGGAGCTTATATATTGTGCTATTGACAAAGAATTGAATTTTCTAATAATTTTTTAGAGTAAGAGGCTTCTAATTCATTGGGCAGTTCTCAGTGGAAATGTAAAGCTTATTACCCATTTACTGGACCTTGGATCTCCTGTGAACCCCCCAGATGATACAGATACGACACCATTAATATTAGCTTCATCAGCCGGCCATATCGAAGTTGTCAAATTGTTATTAAAAAAATGTAATGATGTAGATCATAAAAATATACAGGGCCACTCATCGCTTCAGTATGCAGCATCCAAAGGTTGGACTGAGGTAAATTTATATTCATAATAAATTAAGTATAGAATTGAGTAACATTTAAAATTAAAAATAAATGAAGTATTTTTGAAATGTGTAAAATATTTAATTCCTAGGGAGCTTTTGATTTACAAGCTAACCTCAGAGCTATGATTAAATTTATAAAGTACCACTACCAAAGAGAGATCCAATTCAAAAGTTCTTAAAAAAAATATTTAAAAGACAGCACATTCGACTCCACAAAAAACGTGTTAAAAAATACTAGTGTAAGTACCCGACTATCGGGATGGAGTTGAAATGACATTACTTTATAATATATCCCCATTAAGAAATCCCTTTAAAGTCATAAAAGTCTTCTGCTGACATTTCCTTTACATTTGAAGGATTTCCCTCTTTTTTGCACACCTTATGAAGACAGGCTAAATTGATTTAATATTAGTTTTTGCAACTGCATAGAGGTACATGGTAACTATAAAATTATTTTTATTTTACCTTACACAATTGTCTCTATAAAATATAATGCCTTTCTGATTATAATGAGTAGAAAGATAATCTAACAGACACATTGCTATTTCATTTGAGCCGTGTTTAGTAATAGCTTTGTGCCAAAAATAACAGAAATCACTATTTTGTAACATCTGAAAAATTGTAAAGTTTTTATTTATTTTTATTTATTTATTTATTAAAACTTACAAACACCACCTAAGTAGTAATTACATGTAAGAGTGCTCATTACTTGGTATAACAATATACACACAAAAAATACAATATACACACAAGTACAAAAATAAAAACACAGAAAGTAAACACATTAAAAAAAGACACAACTTAATAAAATTTTAAAATTGAGTCCATTACTTATATATATATTCATAACATTTTTTAATATCCCTTACACTACAGTTAAAGAGGTCTATATCACAGATCTTTATTAACGCATTACACTGATATTGCATATAGTTTATTATTGCACAAGAATTATATGGACTACAAGAAAATAGGTCATTACTGTTTACTCTTAGGTTGACCTTTGGCACATAAAACCTAATACAGTTGATCAAACCACATATCTTATATTTAACATTGTTAATAATATTATAAATAAACATAACACATTGCATATTTCTTCTTTGCTCCAATGACTGCAAGCCAAATATTTGAATGCCTCTTTTGATGGCGTAAGGTGAGTATACACATTGTATTTCTTAAGGTATAAATACCTTAGAAATATTTTTTGTACTTTTTCTATATGATTAATATGAACTTTGGCTTCAGGAGTCCATATCACTGATGCATATTCCAAGTTTGGTCTGACTAAAGCGTTATATAGTCTAATGGTTGTGGTTATGCTAAAGTGTTTGGAATATCTTATTACAAATCACAATATTTTGTAGGCCTTATTAACAATATGTATATAGTATTCATTAAATTTCATGTTAGCCTGTAGGTATATTCCTAGATCTTAACATTTGGTTTTTCTTGATACTACACAATTGTTAATTCTATAATTATTTTGAATGCAGTCTGTTTTGCAAGTAAAAGATATGACTCCACACTTCTTAATATTCAAGATCATATTGTTGTCCCTAAACCATTCCACAACTGAGGTCAGGTCCTCCTGTAGTAACTGACAATCATTTGGAGTATGTATAGTCTTAAAAAGCTTAAAATCATCAGCATAGATTAAACTAGAAGAAAATTTAAGAGATTGTGATAGTGAGTTGACAAAAATTAAGAAAAACAAAGGCCCTAAGCTGCTAGCCTGAAATTTATCTGAAAAACACCTACCAATTTTGACTCGTTGAAATCTTGATTCCACATATGATTTTATAAATGTACAAGCATTATGCGAAAAACCAAACTCATTCAATATCGATAAAAGAATGTTGAAGTAGTTCAGCCGGCATTTATAAGCTTGTTAAGCAAATAAAAACAAGCTACCAACACTTGAGGATCATCTTGTGCTTTTGCTATGTCTTGTGCCTTTTCTTTTATTTATTTATTTAATACACAGGATAACCGCATCAACAGCTTAAATTACAATATACAATATCACAGTTAGGATTCAAAACTTGAAATTACATATAATATAAAATCAATATTAAAAAGTTAAAAAAAATAAGACTAAAAATCTTACATACTAAAAAAACAAAGTATAACAAGAACAAAATTCAACAATCTCAATATACATATAACAAAGCAAGAGATCTTTTTAACTAAGTTAAAGTTATATTGAAAATATCAAAATCGCGGTCATTTAATAGCCCCATGTATGTATCCAATCGGTTGTGAATACCATAGGTTTTGCTATGGAAAGGAATATTGAAAACATTGTGGTATCGTAGAGCTTGATGAGTAACATTGAAGTTAATCTGGCTTAACGGGTTTTGACAATAACGGGTACAGACATTTCCAATAAAATGGTGAAGGATGCAATGCGTCGCGACAGGTTTATCCAAATAATGCGTTTCATGCACTGTGCTGATAATACGCAAATGGATTTAAATGATAAAATGTGGAAATTGAGACCAGCAATCAAAAAATTACAAAGTACTTTTCTCAAATATTATCAACCAACTGAAAATATGAATTTTGATGAGTCGATGGTGAAATATTACGGCCGTCATAATTGTAAACAATTCGTTAGGGGAAAACCGATAAGATTCGGTTATAAAGTATGGTGCCTTAACTCCGAGACTAGTTACCTCGTGAATTTTAAGATCTATCAAGGGAAAAGTACCAATTCCCACGATCTTTACCAACTTGTATTTGGAAAGGCAGCTGCTCCCTTTGTCTAGATATTGGACACTTTGCCACAACAAAAGCTATCTTATCAAATCTATGTAGATAACCTTTTTACTGGATTCAATTTAATGGTGTATTTAAAAGAAAAAGGATATGGTGTCACAGGGACAATAAGAGAGAACAGAATACCACAAGATGTTTCACTTGTCGATTAAACAACTATGTCCAAACAAACTCGAGGTTTTTTTGTTTCAAAAATTGACAAAGAAGATGTTATTATGTTGACAAGATGGATGGATAACGCCGTCGTAACAATGGCATCAAAAAGTGAAACTTTATTCACATTCTAAAAACAAAGTCGTCCAAGTTTCACGCCTACATGTTGTTGGAATGTATAACAAGATTATGGGAGGCATTGATAGAATGGATGAGGATTTAACAAGATACCTTATAAGTATTCGTAGTAAGAAATTGTATTAGTCTATACTTACATGGTTAATTGATGCTGCGGTGCAAAATGCGTGGATACTTATAAGTGTTCAGGAATACCGACAACTAATTTGATTTTTTGACGTGAAATCGCAAATACTTACCTTACCAAATTAAAAAACCGTCCCATTAGACCTGGTAGACCAACAAGTAGAAATAGTTTATCTCTTAACAGAATCTCTGACAACATTAGATACGATGGTGTTAACCATCTCATTATACCTGTCCCTAATAAAAAATAAAGGCGGTGCGCAGGAGAAGAGTGCTGCACAGTAGGACGTAAGCGACGTGTGAGAAATGGGACATTGGACTCTGCATTGATTACTTTACCATATTTCATTAAGAGTAAATCTTATAATATTTTTATAGTATTGTGACCTAGTGTTACCATATGGTCACAGTTTGCATTTATTTATTTGCTTTACTTATTTGCATTTTTCCTAAACTAAACTTAGCAAAAAACCACCAGTTTTACAAAAAAATTAAATCAGGCTTTGATGGGTTAATGTAATCTTTTCTTTGAGACTTGAAACTGGTGATTTCTTCTTCCAGCTTGGCAAATCTTCGCACAACTATAGGAACACTCTGTAGCATCACGACAGGTAGCGCAAAAGTACATAAGCAGACGTATAATAGCCCGTATATCGGATGTCGACAAGCCAGAGCATTTTTCTGCAATGTGTATCCTTGAACGGCAATTGTCGCATGCTATTATTTGCTTTTCATCAGTACCAAGATGTTGGGAACAAGCGCTATAATTATTGGTCATTATAACCTCAAAATTGTATCTTAAAATATTTCAGTAATCCTCGCATTAGGCACTATTAACTATTACGCACATAATCATTTTTAATATGCTTTCAAAACTTGAAAGTTTTTGGAAAATAAAGCAGCACAATTTTGTTTTAATAACCTAACCTCTCTCTTTTCTTCCAAAAAATGATCGGTATTATATTGAAGTATCTCATTTTTATGCTTACCAACAATAAATTATATTTTTTTTCTCTATAATACATGTGTTTTATTTTTTTTTAGATCTGTGCCTTGTTACTCGAAAAAGGAGCTGACGTCAATATTATGGATGAAAGAGGAAGTACTCCGCTACACCGAGCAGCCTCTAAGGGTCTTCTATCCGTTCTAGGTATTTTACTGTCACATCGTGACATTAAAGTAAACGTTAGGGATATTTATGGCAATACTCCCCTTCATTATGCTTGTGAGGAGGATAGAAAAGAGGCAGCTGTTATGTTAGTTGAACATAGAGCTGATGTTGAAATTAAAAATAGGGAGGATAAGTCTTGTTTAGATTTGTGTACACCAGTTTTAGCTAGGCTTCTTAAAAGTAAGTCAAAATGTTAGATGATTAATGTAAGATTAATAAAGTTTTATTTTAAGAATACATTTTGTTTTATCATCTTAACCCTTTACCGCATTATGTGCTATAAATGACACAAACAAAGGAAATACTATAAAGTACATACTAATAGAGTATGGGATATATGCGGCATAGTTCTAAAGTGTATTCGAATACCAGATAGTATTAATAGAGAAGAATAAAATCTCTCCGTTGAAGATGGCATAAATGAGATGATATTGTGTCAGGATGGTATAATTATAACAATGAGGAGCGTGAAGATTTACCAAGCAATTTCAAGGAAACTGTCAATCCTGCCACATCCTCAGATTCTCCAGATGATGATACCTCTTTGTCTGAAAGATTGCGATATAAAAGGAAGAAATCTCATAATTGGGTGAAAGGTAATCTGAGAAGATCATAAAATGATACAAAATTAGAAACTGCTGTCTAATTTTTTCAGCAGATGTATGAGTATAAACGAAAAATGGACCCATTAAAGAAATAGCCCAAAAAGACATCCGTAAAGATTAGTTTGATCATTTTCCCTATTGAGATGAGAGCACTAAGTCAAGATACAAATTTCCAGGCAGTACAGGAAAAACATACAGGGTGCGGCAGATAAACGACCAATTAGAAATATCTCGATAAAGGTAACTGAACAATGAAAATTGAAATGAAGAAGTTTTGAAGAGTGACCTACTTAATGAAAATATTTTCATCTGTTTGCTACTTCCGGTTATATCGGAAGTTGCTTATAACTTCGTTTTTTGTTGGGACACCTTGTATATTTTTTAATTTTAGAAACCGGCAACCTAAATGTTCGCTTAAAGTTGGGCCGCCGAACAGAAAGAATCCTAAGGCCTCGTGATCACCGAGTAACGGAAAGTTGCAGAGTTGTGATTGGCTGTCTGCAGACTTACATGCGTTTGAAACCGAACGGTAGAAGCCGTGTACACAACGCACCATGTTAAATCAGTTTGTGTTAGATTATCGTTTGTATTAAATATGAATGGAAATTCTTTCGCCTCCAAAAAAAAAGGGCAAAGAAACAAGATTTACTGTTGAAGAAAAATGTGTAATTTTAAATAGATATAAAAAAGCATCTGAGGAGTTTAACGCGGGGAAGGGCTGCGAAGGTGTTATTAAATTCACTGCTGAAGCTATAGGTAAATTGTTAATATTGTTACGTTATTAATAATAATAAAAATAATTTTAGGTATTAACAAATCAGCTGTTTATATTTTAAAAGCACATCGCCAAAATTATGGTGAATTTAAACCTCCAAGGATCCAAAAAAGTGCTTGATGAAATTACCGATTAACATAAAAGCATGATTCGGCGTACAGTTTCCTTTTACCAAATAAGCTTTCAACGGTTTAGAAAATTATGCAAAAAATTTCAGAAAACCCGAACATTCCAAATTTAAAGAAAACTACTTTAAAAAAGTTTTGAAATTAATTAATTAGGTTTGTATTTTGAGAACGATTTCCGAAGTGGAAATTGAAACGTCAATAAACGTACTTTAACCTTTCTTCTTCTTCTTACGGTGCCTATCCGTTCCGGATGTTGGCGATCAACATGGCTATCCTAACTTTTTGCTTGCTGCTATTCTAAATAGTCAGGTTGTCGGTGTATTAAACCATTTTCTCAGGTTTTGAAGCCAAGATATTCCTCTTCTCCCTGGTCCTCTCTTTCCAAATACCTTGCCCTGAAGAATGAGTTGCAACATTGCTCATAACATGGCCAAGATATTCTAGTTTGCGCTCTTTGATGGTGTTAATAATCTCGGATTCCTTGCCTATTCTACGTAGGACCTCAACATTAGTCACACGATCTACCCATAAAATTCTTAAAATACGTCTGTAACACCACTTCTCGAATGCTTCGAGTTTTCTTAAAGAAGCTTCGGAAAGTGTCCAGACCTCTACTCCGTATAATAACGTAGAAAATAGATAGCATCTAATGAGAGAGATTTTGGTAGCAAGTGGTAAATCGTGACTTCTGAAAAGAGACTTCATCATTATTAACGCTGATCTCGCTTTTCCTATGCGTTGTTTTATTTCACTGGAGTGACCCCATTGGCTGTTAATGTTGGTACCAAGGTATGTGTAGTTGTCAACTCTGTCAATTGGATGTTGGTTAACCAAAAGCTGTGTATTTAATATTTCGCGCTTACTGACTACCATGTACTTTGTTTTCTTCGTATTAAGATCAAGTCTGTGTTCTCTACTTATATCTGATATACGCGACATTATTCTTTGCAAACCGTCCAGATTATCTGCAAAAACTAATGCGTCGTCGGCATATCTAATGTTGTTTAGACGCATTCCGTTGACTAATACGCCTTTTTGTAATTCTCCCAGCGCTTGCTCGAAGTTATATTCAGAGTATATAATAAATAACACCGGGGACAGAATGCATCCTTGCCTCACTCCTCTATCTATGGAGACTGTCTCTGTCAATTGGTCATCCACTTTAATATTGGCTGTTTGGCTGTAACAACCAAACTTTAACCTTTAATTGTGGCTTATTCCCATTTAAATAGTACTTAATTAATTTTCGGTGAGTACAATTTTAATACTAGCTAACTAATATTAAATCTCATATAAATAATAATAAACTGGCTGAAAGACTTCGGTCGATGGCCTTTTGGTACATAGTTCAATAAAGTATAATTCTCTCTTTAATAATGAACCTTTTATCTGGACTGATTCATTCTTGTTTTAGGTGAAAGATATCGTGTTGAGAATGTAATACATTTATATTGTATACACAGATATATTGGTGTAAGAGTAAGCGGAACGCACCCATAGTGTCATGGGTTGACATGACAGACAATAATAGTAATGTCAATGAGTATCATGTAGTTGTAGGTGGTAGTAAGAAGTATGGTGGCTTAAGTTAGGTTAGTTAATTAGTATGTATGTTATAGGAAATAAAGCCTTTTATAATAGTAGTAAAGTACGACTATTTATTTTCCAAATCCACACCTTAACATGGTAGCAGAGGTCCGTGGTTGGAAAGTCGTACCTTTTACAACAGAAAAAGTTTGGTGCAGTTTGAAAAAAAAGTGTGACACATGATGGCAGGTAGTAGTGATTTTAGAATACCTATATTCGATGGGGAGAATTATAAAATGTGGAAAAAACGTCTTATGCTATTTTTGAAAATGAAGAAGTGTGATGTTGTGGTAACCAGACCGAAAAATGAAAATGATGATACAAATTGGGATGACGATGATGTAAAAGCAATGAATTATATATGCGGTGCAATATCGGATCGACAGATGGAGTACATCGACGAAAAAACTACGGCGTATGAGATGATAAAGAAATTTGATAATTTATATTTGAAAGAATCAACGGCATTGCAGATAGTATGTAGAAATAACTTGGAAAGATTAAAATTGAACAACTATGGAGACTGTGCAACATTTTTTAGTGACTTCGAAAAAGCTATAAACGAGTTAAAAAGCGCGGGTGCTAGTGTGTCTGAAAAGGAAAAATTGAACTATATGTTAAACACGTTGCCAGAGTCGTACAGTTATATTGGTGATTTAATAGATACATTAAAAGAAGATGATCAAACTGCAGACTACGTAAAAACTAAGGTTATGATGTCCGAATTAAAAAATCAAAACAATGATTTTGGAAGAAAATCCAGTACATTTGTGGTAAATAAAGGTCGACAGGATCGATCATGCTTCCAGTGTGGCGAAGTTGGTCATTTCAAGCGAGATTGCAAAAATGGCGCCAATCAAGCGTCGGGTAATGGCGGACAAACGACAAGCAGTAGAGGCTGGTGGAGAGAAACGCGAGGTCGACAAGAAGCCGGAAGAGGAAGCTACGTCAGAGGACGTGGCCACTCACGTGGACAGCGCGGAACGCATGGAACAAGTGCACAGCGGTTCAACCGACAAGGACAGAAGAACGAAGAGCGAAACAGTGCTTCTTGGCTTACAACAGTAGCTCTTGGTAAGGATATGTCAGTTATTGCACAAAATACTGAAATAGGTAATGTAAATAATTGTATTGAAATAAAATGGCTTTTAGATAGTGGTTGTACAGACCACATTATTAATGATGAAAAATTATTTGATAAATGTAAATTACTTAAAGATCCCATTAATGTTTATTTAGGAGATAATAGGGTTGTAAAAGCTACTAAAATTGGAAATGTTTTAAGTTACTTTGATGCTTTTGGTAAAAAGAGTTTAGTAGATATGCAAAATGTTTTCTATGTTAAAGATATGAAATCAAATTTGATAAGTTATAGCAAAATAACAGAAAATAATAAGATTATTTCTCTAGGTAATATTTCAAAAGTTTTTGATAAACTTGGTAATATAACAGCAGTTGCTTTAAAAAATAATGGCTTATATATTATGAAAAGTAAATTAAAATCAGTTGAATTGCATGTAAATGTTGCAAATAAAGATATGAATAATATGAATCAAAAGGAAAAATGGCATCGTTTATTAGGTCATGTAAATTTTAAATATTTGAATATTTTATCTAAAGATCAGCTGTTGAATGGAATTCCTAATGAGTTTGAATCTGAATTTATGAAATGTAAGATTTGTATTGAAAGTAAAATGCATAATATTCCGTTTGTAAACAGTAGAAAAAAAGCTAAAGATATTTTAGAGATTGTACATACTGATGTTTGTGGGCCTTTTCGAACTACTGGGTTTAAAGGTGAAAATTATTTTGTTTCTTTCATTGATGATTATAGTAAGATTTCTAAAGTATATGCTATAAAATCAAAAGCAGAAGTATGTGATTGTTTGAATGAATATACGAATGAAAGTGAAAATTTGACTGGAAAGAAAATAAAGATTTTAAGATGTGATAATGGGAAAGAATATTTGAACAGTAAAGTCTACAGATTTGCAAAAGAAAGGGGTATAGTAATTGATAATTGTCCTACATATGTACATGAATTGAATGGGACTGCAGAACGGTTTAATCGAACTATAATGGATATGTCAAGATGTTTGTTGGCTGAAGCAGATATTCATAAAAAATATTGGCCTGAAATAG